CACACTATTGTGGGAGACCGGAGACACCGTTTTCACTACACCATCCTTACCGCCTGTGCAATGAAGGTCTTTACTTTCTCTGAATATCTTTGGGAGTGAATTCTGTGGATCATGGGGGCCACATCATCTGCGCCCTCACCAGAGACGCCTCTTTCGTCCATGGTAAAGATTTATTCTAAGCGTGGAAAGTTACCTCTGGGTCTTTCCTTAAAAAGGCTTATTGGAAAAAAAAAAAAAGGCTTATTGGATTGAGTCACTATTGGAATAAATATACAAATGAAGATCCTACTCGTCAATGGCCAGACGACGGATACTTTGAATTGGGAAAACTTCTAAATTGGGGGAAAAAAAAGTGTTTTGAGAGCTCTCACAGAATTATTTAATTGTTACCTAAAAAAAGGCCAGAAAAATGAAGGGAAAAATTTGACGAGCCTTAAGAACCTGACTCAGGTTACAATTGAATTGAGAACATGTAAAAGTGTAAGTGTTGATAAGATTATAAAGGTTGGAATGTTTGAGCTAATCTTATATAAAGAGGTTACATCAACTTTGCCTGAGTATGTTTTAAAATGTCTGACTGGGAATGCTTCCCTTGTCCAAAATTAGAAGACCAAGACCTATTGATAAAAATCTTAATTATAACTATGTTTAAAGGTATAAGAGGTGATGAAATTTACATGAAATTTTGTAGAAAAAGACTGATATTATTTCTATTACAGAACTGGTTAACAAAAATAGTAATTTAAATGATGCCTAATTTTATCTGAAGTTTTATGAAGTCTTGTAGGCAATCTAAATAATTATTGGGAATAAGTAACTAAATAGTTGTGAAAAAGATGAATGTTGGATGAACTTTAAACAATAATTATGTGTTATGGTGGTTACAGCTTCCAAAATCTTTTTGGTGACTTAAAACTTTAGAGTTTTGCTAAATTTTATGATAAAAATTCAATGAAGAACATCATTTCCAAATAAGATAAGATATTAGAAATTGATTGCTAAATGTACGTTTGTCTACATTTGGCTTTTCATTACAGGAAAACTAAAAAGTGTTTTGGGTCTATTGGTAAACATGTCTTGTGTTCTATTAAGAGACTGTACTATAAAGTAACATATTTCTAGAAGTTATGAAGTGTTTATAAATTTTCCAAGCCACAAGATACTAATGTAAAAGAAAGTTGATAATTGCTTACTTAGTTTTTACTTACTAATTAAGGTTTCTATAGGTTAAAATTTCTAATTAGTATATGTAATTGAAGCTACTAAAAATTAAGAAAAATTTGTCTGTGTACATGGAAAGTAAGATGTATAAAGAAGGTACAAAGAATGGAAATATTTTGTTTGGTTGATTAACAAAGATAAATTTGTCCTCAAGTACTAGGAGGGAAAAGAAAGACATGGGACAAATTCTGAATGTAAAAAGGAAGTTATAGAAAGTTTGTGGAAGAGGAATTCTGCAAAAAGAGTTTTATGCATGGTCAAGTTGGCTAAGATTAAAATGAATTTAATTAAGTAAATGAGTTTTAATATCAGGAGTAAGCCGGTACAAAATTATAATTTGGTCTTATTTCTCTTAAAAGGATAATTTTCTTGAACTTGATAAAGAGGTTATAAAAGATTTTTCTTTACTTTTGGGTAAGTCTACCTAAAAGACAGAAAAAAAAAAAACTGTTAAAATAATTTCCTGTGTTCAAAAGACTGAGGTCTCTCTATTAAGGCTTTTTGGACTGTTAGTGCTCTGTTTGCGTTGATTTGACTGCTTATATTTTTGACAAGCTCCTCCAAAATTCATATCTTAAATAAAGTCTTTTTTTTACTTTTTTTCCTTGAGAATTTTCAAAGGGCCCTGGAACTTCTCAAAGAAATTTGCTCTCTGCCTATAAAGAGAAAGATACTAACTTATTAGGCTGATTCAGTATGTTAAACTACATGGGAAGCATTGTCAGACAAGTGATGATAAGCCTTCTTAGGTGGTATTATGTGGGCAAATGTTATTGACATAGGTGTTTTAAAATTGTATAACATTGTATTCCTTAACGTTCTTATGGCTGGCCAAATAATTAACAAGACAGGTTAGCAGGGGAAAATAATACCAAGTTTAATAACATGTATACATGGGAGAAACTCAGAAATGAGCAACTCATCCTTCTGTCTAAGCTGCTTGCTTAAGTATTGCAGCTAAAGGCGAGGAACGGGTTGGGGGTGGGTAGTGGTCTGGGACTTCAGAGGCCAGGAAGACAATTCTTTTCAGAGTCATCTATAGATAATGTGGTCAGGGAGAAGAAGAGTTTTTGATAAAAGAGGGTTGGTGCCTTTCCTATTGTAACCTCTATCCTACATTATCTTTACAGCCATCATGATAATAACTCCTTCCTGAAACAGATCTTTTGTTTTAAATTCTTTAGGCAGTTTGGGAGGGGAAACTCAAATATTCTTCCTGAGTTCTCTGAGTCCTTATTGTCTTCAGCTCGAAATAATCCACATACCAGAGTGGTGCCTCCTGGGGTAGCTTGCCCTGAGCATCATCAGTTTCCAAAGCCCTTTGAGGCCAGTCCTTCACTACCCCTCTGACCTCGGCTCCTGCCCATCTCCCTCATCCAGTTCTCCAGACCCCTGACTTCCTGTTCTTTGAACATTCCAATCTGTCAACCTGAGGACCCGGTTGAGAGTGGGCTTTACTCATCTTCCATGGCTGGCTCCTTCTAATATTTACAACAAGATGGTCTGATGAATGCTATCCCTCATAGAGGCTTTTCCTGAC